CTGTCTTACTCTCTGGCCAGAATGACCTTTTCGATCTTGTTCTGCAAGCTCAGGTTCCGTCCGGGCCCTTACAGGACTGGGCACATACCTGGTGAGGCCGTGTGGGCCAGGGGTGAGAGTTTGCTGAGGCTCTGCAGTCAGAACCTGGTTCAAATCCACTTGTTGTTCAAATCTTGTTCAAATCCACAGGGCATGTTCCCTGTGCCTCAGTTCCCGAACCTATAAAATGGAGCCATAACTTGTTGAGTAGGTTACAGGTTTCATTAATTTACGCAAAGTGTGTAGACCAAGACCTGACACCTAGTAGGACCTTAAAAAAAGTCAGGCACTTTTCCAAGTCTAGAGGATCTGGGCATTCAGAAAACACCAACTCCTAAATTTTACCAGTCTTCCCTCCACAGGGCCAGTCTGTCCTAGTTCATATAGCCCTTCTGGTCTACTTGGTGCAGGCTGTGCTAAAACGAGGAAAACCAAGGCCCAGAGAGAGGCAGACACCCACCCCAGGTCACACAGGAACAGTGGCCAAGCCAGGTCTCCTGTCTTCCAACCAGTTCAACCTCAGGATCTCCTTGGTTTCCAGGCCCTGGTGGCCTACCCTCTGACCCTGGTCCCCCCGGGAGCCCAATCCCAGGCTCGTGGGGTCTACAAATCTGGTCTGGATTAGACACGCTGGTAAGCAAACGCCGGGCCCCCCCAGCAGGCTGCCTGGCGGGACCCGTGCTCACAGCTGCTGAAGCTCACAGGGATATAAATCATGGTGGCAGAAGCCTCTGGGGCTGCGACCACCTTAGCCTCCTGAAGGGCACAGGGGCCTGAGTGTCATGGGCAGAAATGCTTGGGTCCACTGGGGGTTTTTCTGTCCTCTGCTGGGGCAGCTGGAACAGGGCAGGTCAGAGCGGGCCAAGAGACCATTGGCAGGCCTTACCTCCTAGTGGGCCAAGATCTCAGCTCTGCTTTAACTTTTTGCTCTGGAGTTCTTTACAAACATGCAGCGAAGTAACAGAAGGAGTGCACAGAACTCCAACATACCCTCTACCTGGATTCCCCAAGTTTTAACAGTTTGCCACATTTGCTTTGTCTTGCTCTCACTCTTGCAGTTACTTTTTTCTGATCCATTTGATAGTATGTCACCTACACCATGTTCTTCTACTCCATAATACTTCAGAGTGTGATTCTGAGGCACCAGAATATCCTCTTACATCACCGTACTGGTAGCAAATTCAGTAAATATAATGTTGATGTATGTGTGTGTGCTCAGTTGCTAAGCCGTGTCCAACTCTGTAACCCCATAGACTATAGCCCACCAAGCTCCTATATCTGTGGGATTTTCCAGGCACTGGAGTGGGTTGCTGTGTCATCCTCAAGGGGATCTCCCCAACCCAGGTGTTGAACCTGAGTTTCCTGTGTCTCCTGCACTGGCAAGCAGATTCTTTACCACTGAGCCACCTGGTAAGCCCCAAGTGTGACACTGACGTGATCCCTTAATCTGTTGTTCTTACTCCAGTTTTGTCAACTGCCCAGTAACATCCTCTATAGCATCAATCCCCAGTAGGACAGGGCCCAGCCCAGAGGCATGTGGCATTTTGCTGTCCCTATCTAGACTTTAGATATCAAGCCCACAGGAGGTAAAATATACAATAGCAAGAGATGCAGACAGGTTGAACAAAGATGGTCAACCTTACATGTGTGTCCCACAGACTGATGATTTTGTAAATCTTCTAATGTTCTCATGATAATTCATCATTCTTGTGATTGTATAGGTTGCTTAATAAATTAACTTGCTGAATATGCTAGAGTTTTGAGGATTCTATTCTGTAGTGTGTTTATTTTTAAAAAATCTAATAGGAGCATCATAAAATGGAAGTGGTCTGGGCTACTGAGGGGAACTAAAAGTGGTGGAGCAGCCCTGGGCTAGAGAGAGGGACTTTGCATTCTCAGCTCCAAAAGCTGTGCAACCCTGGCCCTTCGCTGTCCTTCTCTGTTTCTCCATTTCCATGGGTGGCCTCTGAGGCTTTCCAACTTGCAACTGTGGAATTAGAGAAGAGAGTCCTAAATGGCAGGCAGGAAGACTTGGGCTCCTGGTGGCTCAGAAGAGCCAGGGACTAGCTAGGGGACCTCGGGCAGGTTGCTTGTCTGTATCGGCTCAACTTCTCGTTGTGAAATGATGCACTCTGAGATCCTTCTTGTTCTGATGCTCCTTGTGGCTAAGAAGGCTTGGGTGGAGGGTGTAAACTGATATTTAGGCCTCCCCTTCAGGGTCCCAGGTGGCCTGGATGAAGTTGCTCATCCCACCTGCCTCAGCCCTGGGTTTCTCCTCCCCGAACTCCTTAAACTCCTCTAGCCCTGAGTTAAGTCCTCACTTAGGCAACATGGAATGGCTGGGTTGTCCCATCCTACAGGCAGAAAGCGTGTGTGTTGGGGGCAGGGATGTTTGGCAAGTGGCTCCCAGAGACACTGGTCCACAGTTATGCCTCTCCCAAGTCACGTGTGTTGCACTGGCCTTGTAGCTCACATGGGCCCCAAGATATTAACTGTCCACTACCCAGGAATGAGGCCCAGGGAAGACAACAAGCAGCAAAACGTGCAGAATGGAGCAGTATGCAGCTGCAAAAAAGCATGAGGCAGCAAAAAAGCATGTAACAGCTCTTTAAACACTGAAGTGTCTCCAAGATGTATTGTTCAGCGGAAAAAAAAACAAATGCAAGTGCAGATCAGTGTGTGAAATGTCACTTCTCACATGGAAAAACAAGATACATGTGATATGCTTGTATCTGCAAAGACTATCTCTACAAGAATCCCTAAGCTCTGGTTAACAGAATTGCCTCTGAGAACCAGAAGTGAGTGGCTGGGAGAGAAGACTCACTGTCAGTTTATTCTGTCTTCCGAAGTGTGAGCTCTGTCAAGTGCATTGTTTATTTCAAGGGGAGTACGATGGAAGCAACCCAGTATGAGGAGGTACTCGTGAGGGGTTCCTAGGATGATGCTAATCGCATTTCTTGCTCTGCATGCTGGGTGCACAGGTGTGCTCAGCCTGTGAAAGTACACCTAATGGCACATGGACCGTCCTGCACTTACGTTACACTTTGATAAAAGTTTTAACTTAGTATGTTGTAAATGATTATTTAAGTATATGTGTTTTACAAAAACTCTGCAGGATTATTATAGTGTTAACAGTGGTTGTCCTTGGGATGGGTGGTATTTCTAAGATCCTGCAGTATTTGAGTTTATATATATATATATACATGTATACAATGAATACATAAGCAGAGAAATCTATAAGTACTTTTTCAGAACCAGTAATCAGTAGAGAGCGTTTCTGGAAGGACACACGGAAACTGCTAACAGCAGTTGCCTTTGGGGAGGAGCCTGAGGGAGGTACCCACTTTTCACTGCATCTACTGGATACAACTGGTCTTATTTACCCAGTGCATAAATGGCCTATTAAAAACTACTTAATAAGGCAAAACAAATAATTATTATTCTGTCTCAGCTGTTCTCGTTGGTTAGGGATTAGGCCAGAGAGACTGGGAGGGGTCAAGCAACTTCTCAAGGGTCGCCCAGCAAATCTGGTGGCAGAAGTGGGCCTCGAGCCCAAAGCATCCAACTATCTGCTCTGTCCTTACTCCCAGGTTTCCTGCCATTGACAAGGTCACAGTCCTCTTCCCGTGGCTTTGCCAGGGGCTGCCTGGACCTGGGTAGGTGTGGGGTGTACAATGTGCTTTCCTAATTAGCTCCCGAAGGGGGACTGTTTGCTGATCTGCAAAATGGGCGGCCCCATTTCAGGCTCTGACTGAGGGCCAAATACAGGGTGTGACAGAGTGGGTGCAGCATGGAATCTGGAGCCAGTCTTCAGCTGGTAAAAAGTGTCTGTTAAAAAAAATAACGAAATAGGCATATGAAAGTACCTGGAGGAAAGGGCGGCTGCCCGGCTGTGCTGTCTCTCCTGGCCCCTCTCCTTGTTCCCTGCCTCCAGCTTCTCTGATCCTGGACCCACAGGGACAGAGCCCCACAGAGAGAGCCAAGAATGGCTCCACTGACCAGCTGTTCCCATCGCCCTCTCAGTTGGACCTGTGAGATGGGGAAACACCACCTCCCACCTCTCAGCTGCTGGGAGGATAACAAGGGTCACAGGGGCTGGCACCCCGACTGGGGCATCTCCAGGGCAGGGGAAGGAGCTCACTTTGGGCTTTACAGGTGGACAGACCTCACATCATCACCCTGCCATGTGCCAGCCATGAGCCTTTGGGTGTCATTATTTCTTCAAACCGTCTCAGTTACAACAGGGGTAAGAGTACCCCCTGTTAGCACATACTCATTTGCACATGCGGAAAACCACATGCCTCCCCAACCCTGTTTGTAAAGACATGGATAAAGCATAGATTAAAGTATGGTACGTTCACAAGATGGAACAAACAGCTACTAAAGAAATGAAGAGAACCCTTTACCTTTATGTACTGACTTGGGATAACAGCCAAACTAGATTAAGAGGAAAAAAAAAAACTCATGGAGCAGAAAGAAGGTAACAAGGGGCTACTGTCTGTGTAAAGGGCAGAAGAAAACATACATGAGCATTTCTGTATTTGCTTGGTTATTCATACGGAATAGAAAAGTCACACAAAACTAGTGGCTGAGCCTATCTGCAGCGGGAGAACTGTAGCTGGAGGACAGGAGGGAGGGAGACTTTTTTTTTTAACCACATACCCCTCTGTACCTTTTGAATTGTGAACCATGTGGATAAATACATTCCTCATTCAAAAATAAATAAAATTAAGATTTTTCTTTTACCAACCACACCAGATACCCAACAGTTGTTCAAGACAGTGATGAAAAACTGGTTATCTCGATTTCTGGAGAGGGAGACCCCTATCGTCCTTCAGCCCCACTCCCTCCAGGGCACAGGGCAGCACCTGTGACACCTGTGTCTCTTCCAAGGTCCAGGAGAAGGGCCACCTCTGACCTCTGATGTCCCTAGGCCCCTCCCTTCTGCAGCTGGGAACATCTTTTACTTAAAAATACCTTTTATTTTAAACCCACCAATTCTCTCTCTCACACATACACCCACACTCATCCATAGACGCACACATCCTCTGTCACCAACAGTCTATGTTTTTCCAAAAGATCTGCCTTGTCTCTGACCAGCCAGGGCTGGGGCCGGCTGGATGGGTCCTCACGGCTCTCCAGGGTGAGGTGGAGATGTCCCAAGGGGCCTGCTCTGAGGGTCATGGGCCCAGGTCATTGTCCTCTGGGTCCCTCCACAAAGACGGGACCCAGGTTTGGCTCCTGGGGTCTTCTCCCCTGTTCACCCAGTGGCTGGCCTCTGGCCTTCTTCTCAGGGTCCTGCTTGGAGCAAATGACACAGGGATCCAGGCTCATCTCCGTGGCACTCGAAGTGGGGTTACCCCCCTCACCTTCAAGCAGCTGCCCCCCAGGTCACGACGGCTTCCCTGTGGGAAGGGAAAAAAGAGGTTCAACTTTTTGAGGGGTTCAACTGTCTCCTTGAACGCTGGAACTAATCTCTGTGCCCAGCAATAGGGGACTTGATAAACACATCAGTCAGCCACACAGTCAAGTTCATGAAGCAGAAGGCAGAAGACACTATATGGACTAACAGGGGACGATGCTGCAATAACATCATTTAAACACAAGACCAAGGATGGAGTGTGTGCTCCTGTGTGCTGAGATGTCCAGAGAGGGCACATGGGAAACTGCTAATGGGTTCATCAGAGAAGAAGAATGTGATAAGGAGGAGACAGGATGGGAGGGAGGCTTTTTAAAAAAACTCTATATACTTTTTTACCTTTTTCATTTCTTTTTTTTTTTTACCTTTTTCATTTCTTCCCCATGTAATCTGTTGCTTTAAAAAATCCAATACAGGTCAAGTCATACAATTTTACACTCAAGGGCATAACACATTCCACAGTAGTTCTCCTGCTGCCCGGGCTGTGGACTCAGTGGCCTCCTCATCAGCCTCAAAAGTAGATTCTGGAATTCTGGCCTCCCTGCCTTCATTCAAGGTGTTCCCAGGAATATGCACTCTGGTCCTGTCCTGGGAAGATTTCTCTGTTCCTGCAATTGCCTGACACTCCTTGCCTTTCTGGGGCCAGGATAAAACCCAGAAGGGGAATATGGGATCTCTCTGTTTTCCCATCAGGCTGGGAACTCAGTGGGGTGGCTGGAGAAAATCCTTCACTCTGTAGCCCCAGTTCCAGCCTGTGAACGGGCATGGAGCAATTACCAACCAATGCTGCTTGGATCAGGGGTGTCCACTGGAAGACGAGTTAATGGTGGCAGCCCTGGAGGCCACCTATTTCCCTCATGCGGCAGGGACAGTCTCTCCCCGCTATTCTGAGGTCTGACACCAGGGTTTCAGCCTTACTGTAAGCCAGCAAAGTCACAGACATTAGAGCACCCCCTCTTTTGCATCCTCCAGCATTGCATGAATGGCTCAGAGGCACCCAGCCAGTTGGTAAAAAGGGCTGTGCTAGAAAATCCATGTTGTCCAGTCTGTCTGGTTTCCAGGACATAGTGGGGTCTGAAATCCCACTGTAAACGCTCATTCCTGAGCCTGACTAGGGGATGACGGGACCAGCCTTTTTCTCAGCCATCTAGAGAAATAGCTAGCCATCTGGGAGCTCTGCCCCCTGCCCCCCTCCACTCCTGGGCCCAGGTTGGGGCAGATCCATCCAGATGCAAGCCCAGCCTCCCTTGAGGCTCTCTGGGCCCAGGGACAGCGTGTTCATTCACAGGCAAGGCTATTTTGAGGGCTGAGGCCACAGTCCCAGCAGAGCCTGGGGCTTGGGCTTCTCAGACAAACTCTGGCAGCCGCAGCTGAGAAGGGCGGATGGGGGTGGCGCGGGGTTGGGAGGCGGGGGTCGTGTTGAGGTTGGAGGATAGAAAACCAGCTTCCTACCTTTTCAGGGTCAGGAGAGCCGCCTCTACCCTACGTCTGGCAGTCATCGTGAGACTGGCATTTCCCTGAGAATGCTGAGACTGTTCACCTCCCTGAACCTCAATCTCTTCATCTATGAAATGGGGACAAAATGATTCTACTTGCCACCACAGAGGTGCAGTCAAACGCAAGTGCAGCTGTGAAAGAGGCTTGTAAACTGCCAAACACATTTAGAAGAGGCCTTGACTAGGCCCCAGATTCTCTGTCCCTTTGCCCCTGAGTGCCAAGGCTCCGAGAAGCACCGTAGTTAGTAGGTGGTTAGAGTAAAGCAGACCTGGGCTTCAACCGCAGCTTTGTCTTGGACTACCTGTCAGACCTCGGGCAAGTGACTTCAGCTCACGGAGCCTCAGTTTCCCCATGTGTAGTTACCATGAGGATTATACACATTAACACAGGTAAAACCCCTAGCAGAGTCAGGAACATAGCGAGTGTTCAATGAACATTCACAAGTATTAGCATCAGCATCACCTGATGATGGTATCTCCTTGCCCCACTGCTCCTGGGCTGGTATCCCAAGTGGGGAAGGCTTTACAAGATGATCTTATGTGACCCCTACTCTCAGGTGACAAAAGGGAAAACAGGGCAAAGACAAGAACCCCCTACCTCCCCTTGCTATTTCTACCACAGAGGGCCACACCTAACACCTCCTTAAACAAGATGCTGCAGGGAGCTATCTCCATGGTGACCCCAACCCCTGACCAGCCAGCTTGGGGCGAGACAGTAGCTCGGAGTGAAGGGATAGAGTCCGGGGCTTTAGAGCTTTCTGGAAGGCTCCCATGGGCTCCCCAAGACAGCCAGTTTTCTTCCAGTTGAGTCCCCAAGTCTTTGAGGAGCCAGAGCTGGCCAGGATCGCCCCTTCTGCCTATTCCCAGAGGAGTCTGTGGACTTGAGAGCATGGCTTCTGCAGCCAAATTTGGCTGGGTTCTAGGTCCTGTAGACAGATCCCAGGGAAGGGGCCAGATCCAGGCGAGGCCCTGAGACCAGCAGAGAAGCCCCCAGGTTACCTGCGATGTGGGTGGGCACATGACAGACACACCCTCTCCCCCAGGCCTACTGTTACCAGGCCTTCCCACACTAACCTTTCCTATTTCCCAATCGAGCAGGCCTGAGTTTGAATCCTGGCTTCTTCATGGGCAGTGTCTCTGAACCAGTAATACCATTTCTAAGCAGGTAGGGATAACTAGAGCACCTTCTTCCCCAGCTATCTTTTTTTTTTTTTTTTCTGCACCATGCAACATGTGGGATCTTAGTTCCCTGACCAGGAATGGAACCTGTGTTCCCTGCATTGGAAACTCAGAATCTTAACCTCTGGACCTCCAGGGAAGTCCCTGCTGGGGGATTTTAATGGTAACACATGGAAGGCGGTTAGCACGAGAGATCAGGGCTCATCAAGACTGCTGACACTGCTGTCACTGGCCTGTCTTCGCTTCCCCTTTGTGCGTTGCCACTTTCAACGTCTTCCCTTCTTTAGGTCATGGTTTCTGATCCCAGCTCTGGCTGTGCCTTGCCCCTAGAACACCCTCCCTTACTCTTCAACTTGCCTGCCTCCATCCTCAAGCATTGTCGGGGACTTAGGCCCTGGGTCAGGGGCTTCCTCTGATCCTGACAGTCCCTTTATGCACCCCCATCAGACTGTAGCATCCCTCTTTTCACCTCCAGACCCTGCCCTGACCCTACACTGGGAGTTCCTGACTGCGGTGCACAGGCACCTACCACCTGCTTCTCTGGGAATGTTCTCAGAGCCAACAAAAAGCAGCTGTCAGGTAGCTGAGGTTTGCTGAACTGAGTGGATGGGTGAAAGGCAGTCAGAGAATATCGCTGAGGGCCCAGTCAGCCCTTCACAGCCTGGGCTGGATTGCTCGCAGGCCCATGCTAGCTTCTCAGTCCAGCCTGGAGCACAGACAAGGGCCCACAGCTGGGAGTAACAGGGACCCTGGAGAGAGTTCAAGTCTGAGCCTACCAAGACTGACTTAGGGAAAGGGAGGCAGCCATCAGGGTGGGAGGCCAGGATGGGAGTCTGATGAGCTGGAAGGGGGTGGTCTGAGGCTAGGACCCAGGGGCTTTCCTCAAACAGAGTGAAGAGGAGAGTTGGGGCAGCTTTGAGAACCAAAGACTGGGGGACCCTCAGAGGCCTGACTCCAATCCCTCATGCTTTAAAAAATTTTTATTTTATATAGAGTTGATTAACAACATTGTGTTAGTTTCAGGTGTAGAGCAAAGTGATTCAGTTATACATACACGTGTATCTATCCTTTTTTTAGGAGAAGGGGACGACAGAGGACGAGATGGTCAGATGGCATCACCAACTCAATGGACATGAACTTGAGCAAACTCTGGGAGCTGGTGAGGGACAGAGAAGCCTGGCGCGCTGCAGTCCATTGGGTGGAAGAGAGTCGGACACAACTGAGTGACTGAACAACAATCATTTTTCAAATTCTTTTCCCATTTAGGTTATTACAGAGTTCTGAGCAGTGTTCCCTGTGCCCTCAATGCCCTGTCACTTTCCAAAAGGCCATGGGCTGGTCAGGGACTCTTTCAGCCTCAGTTTCTGCAGCTGTAAATGGAAGCTGCTGGGATGCAAAGCGGTCACACAGACAAGACTCCTTACGCTAAGAAAAGCCCAGGCCAGAAGGGGAAAGGCTAGGGGTGAAGCAGGCCCTCTGGGGCTGGTGCAAGGGGAGAACCAGCTTTCAGCCACAAGTGCCCCTCAGCGACCTCTGCGGCTGCTCACCCTTCCCCACTCCCTACCAGCCTGGTACCCATCCTTACCTAGGACAGACCACGGGAGCCTACCTCAAGTTCTGCCCCGATGACTCAACAGCGCCTTTCTGGACTCGCCGTCCCTTGAGGGGGTGGGTATCCTCAGGGGACCCCTCATTCATGCTTACTGCTCATGAGCTGGGTGCCTGGGGCTCTTGACTGGGGCTGTGCGTCCCCTTTTCTTCTAACCTCCTGCCCCTTGGTCAGTCTCAGGATGCAGAACAAATCTTTAACAAAAAGGGCAGTTCAGGGCACACACACCCAGCAGACCCGGAGCCTGCATTCTGGCTTCCGAGCTGGGTGATGAGGGCAGCCCTGAGACTCAGATCCTGATAAAACCAGCAAACCTACCTGTCTGATGGGGGTTCCTGCGAAGGTAAAAAGAAAGAAGACCACGAAGGCGCCCCTACATAGGTAGGGCCTCCTGCTGCTGCTGCTAAGTTGCTTCTAGTGTCCGACTCTGTGCGACCCCATAGACGGCAGCCCACTAGGTTCCTCTGTCCCTGGGATTGTCCAGGCAAGAATACTGGAGTGGGTTGCCATTTCCTTCTCCAATGCATGAAAGTGAAAAGTGAATGTGAAGTCGCTCAGTCGCCCGACTCTTAGCGACCCCATGGACTGCAGCCTACCAGGCTCCTCCGTCCATGGGATTTTCCAGGCAAGAGTACTGGAGTGGGTTGCCATTGCCTTTTCCGAGGTACGGCCTGTTACGTTAAAATGCCTTTTTATGATCTCCCCACGCGCTCTTCCTAGCACACCTCTAGTTGGAGCGAGTGTCCCTGGATGAGCAATCTCCATCCTCTAAATTACGCCTGAGCGTCGGGCTTCCCTGCACCCCGTGTTTGGGGGACACTGTGAGCTGTTGTGCTCCACACCAAACACTGGCCGCACAACCGACGACTCCATGTCGCTTCCCCCCTCTCTTCACTGGGGTCTCTGCCCCTCTCTTGCTACCTAAGCGGCCAGTTCCCTGACCCCACGGGCGCAGTGCTGGACCGCAGCGCGCACTCACCCCCTTGCGCTGGTTGCTGAGGCAGAAGGTGCAGATGGAGCGTGGCTGGCGGCCGCCGTCGGGGGCGGCGGAGACCGCGCTCTTGGCACTGCCGGCAGCTCGGAAGCACGGCTGCCCGTCGTCGGCCGCGTCGCCCAGCAGCAGCACGTTGGCCAGATGTGCGATGTAGCTGGACGCCAGGCGCAGCGTCTCGATCTTGGACAGCTTGCGGTCCACCGGCTCGGTGGGGATGAGCGTGCGCAGCGCCGTGAAGGCCGTGTTCACGCTCTGCGTGCGGTCCCGCTCCCGCGCGTTGGCCGCCTGCCGCTGTCGCACCACCACCACCGGGCCCGCGCTGCCCGCCGCCCGCCGCCCGCCCCCGGGGCCCGGGCCGCGCCGTGCCGCCTCCAGGCCCTCGCAGCAGCCGAACGACTGATCCGAGGCGTCGCTTTCGCTCCGATTCTCCTCGTCCTCGCTCAACAGCCGCACGTCCGGGTACAGCACGTGCGCGCCGACGGGGCGCAGCAGTGCGAACGCCATGGGCACCCGGCCTAGTCCCTGGATGAGCAGCGTCCCGGCGCTGGCCGCGCCCCGCCGTGCGCTCCCGCGCGCTCCCACGGCCCCTCCGGCCGCAGCCTTATAGCCGAGGGAGGGGCCAGTCCGGAGGCCGCCCCAGCCGGGGCGGGGGGGCTCCGCCCCGGCCAATGGGGAGGCTCCCGCAGCCGCCCGGCCAATGGCTAGGCGCCCACCGCCCCCGTCCCCCAGGTTGAAAGCGGCCCGCGAGCTGGTGGCCCGCCCTGAAGGCTCCAGGTCCCCGCTGGCGATCTGGGTAAACGTGGGGGTCGGCGAGGGTGGGATGGGCTGTACTCAGATCCAGACTCATCTTCAGCCTAGACCGCCGGGAGACTGCGGGCAGATCCCTTCTCTCTTGGCTTCAATTTCCTTGTTTGGAAAGAGGGTTACAGAGAAACCAACTCGGGTTTTTCTGCCCTCAAATTCTGCTGTTGTGATGCTGCAACTCACGTGTTGTCAAATAAGGGAAGGGGGGGGGGGAGCTTTTAACTTGATAAATTCCCAGATTCCTCCCAATCTGATTCAGCAGACCCAGGAATCTGCATTCTCTACAGGATGGTGGTGTCCACGGAGAACAATCGGAGAAACACTAATAATCTTTCCAAATAAGGACTCAGTGTTGTCACGTCCCTGACAACAAACTTAGAAGGGAGAGGAGGAGAGAGAGAGAAAACGAAAACGAAACACACAAACGCCAGTAGCTCTATTCATTCATTTATTCATTCAACAAATACTTACTGGGTCCTGGCTATGCCAGGCATGGTTTTAGGTGAGAAGAGAAATGTGAACAAAACGAATTCTTGGCTTTCACGGAGTTGGCATTTTGGTTGAGGTTCTACCACCAAAATGGTTGTGCCAGACACAAGGCTGCGTGATTTACTGATGGTGGCTGTTCTCTGCTGAGTTGTGGGGAGGGGCCCCTGACTGACAGAGGAGAGCTCTGTTCTCCAGGGTGAGTGAGAGCACTGGCCCTAGCCTGCGTGTCTTCATGATCACCCCTGTTCTGTCTCCACCCCCGATACAAGGAGAGCTTCTCTCCCTTGCTCCCCACAGTCCCATCCTGTGTGGCTGCTGCTGCAGCCGTCTGGCTCCCAATCCACACCCTCCCCTTTCCTTCTGCTTGAAGTGCCAACACCACCCCCTCAAAACACAGGCGCTTACAGACAGAGGGGGTGGGAGGAACTATCTTCCCTTGTTGCCTCCCTTCCTTCTGGAAACCTTAGATTGTTCAGCCAGATTTCTGATACGTCCTCTTCCTCAGAGGCTCTGGGAAGAATTACTGAGATGATGATGGTTACTGGGATCCCCAGGTTGCTCATGTCCCTTTCCCAGCTCCCTTCTGTGGGGCTGGCCTAACCTGGATTCACTTGACCTTGACAATAACTTTCTCTTTGGCCCACATTGGCAGCCCGTGAAGCAGAGAGAGCCCAGGGAGTGAAGTTGGAGGAGCTCTAGGTGCTTTAGGCTCCATCTTTCTTCTGGGCATCAGTTCTCTGGACTGATGCCTCCCAGCTCTGCCATGCTGTGCTTTCCTGGCTCTCCGGATGCAGGCCAGAACTGGGGAGAGACAGGGAGCTGGAGGGTTTCCCTTGGCCTCTGGGAGAGCAGTCCCTGAAGTCTTCAGGCCCTAGGGCCTTCAGGAAGGTCTGTTCCCACACCTGGCTCTCCCCCCACCTCATTTGACCATGACCCCAGCCAGGCTGGGCTTTGGAGAGCAGGAGAAGGAGTCTGCTCGGCCCCCTCCCTGCAGGGCCAGCCCCACACACAGCCCCAGGCCAGGCTGCTGCTTCCTGAGCCGATGAATTATTACCGGGAGATTTCCTTCCCTGTCTGCGCCTCCTCACAGGGGCTCCCCGCTCCCTTCACTTTCGCTTCCCCCCCTACCTTCTCCCCCTCTCTTCTGCTGGACCCTCAGGCAGCTTGAGATTCCTCTGTCCAGCCCCCTCCCCTTCCAGCACAACCCGGAGGAGCCAAATAGGGCGTGAACTGGGCCCGGAAGGCGGGGAGGGGGGCTTCCTTGGAAGGCGCATTCATTCATTCGCTCCTCAGGCAGGTTTTGACACAGGGGACCCTGGGAGTAAAATAAAACCATGAATGAGACTCAAGGCCTTCTGCCGTCCAGAGGGGAAGGCAAGCTGTAAACAAAGAATTGCAGGACAATGTGGACAGTGCAAGCCAGGGCCTGGCATCAGAGAGACCCAGTTCCGGCCCAAGGTTAGCTGCCTCTTGCAGTCTCAGCTTCCTGCTCTGAAAACAGAGGAGTAATAATAGTACTTATTCCTAGGGCTTCCCTAATGGCTTAGTCGGTAAAGAATCCGCATGCACTGCAGAAGATCTGGGTTCGATCCCTGGGTCAGGAAGATCCCCTGGAGAAGGAAATGGCTACCCACTTCAGTATTCTCACCTGGAGGATTCCATGGACAGAGGAGTCTGGCATGCTACATCCATGGGGTCGCAAGAGTTGGACAGGATTGAGCGACTAAACCACCACTTCCACATTCCTAGAGCTTTTGGTGGTTGTTCCCTGAGTTGATGCCAATAAAGCTGGGGCGCACATGGAATGCACAACAGTGGTTGGTGCTAGCCGTTAGCCGTGTCAGGGGCTGGACCCTGCCGAGGAGCACTCTGCCTGGAAGGCACTGAGCAGCTTGGACTCTTTGGGGCCTTTTCCCTGGGAGGGGGAGGGGGCTCCTGCCACATTCTCAGCCCACCCACACTAGGCTTTCAACCCCTCCCCTCTTCTGTTCCCCAACCAGCTCCAGCAACAAGGGGCTTCTTGCTATCCCTGGAGCACACTTCTGCCAGGCGCCAACTGTCCCCAAATATTCCCAATGCTAGTTCCCTTCCTTCCTCCCCGTCTTCCCTCAAATCTCATCTCCTCAGATAGGCCTTCCCTACCTGCCAGCGCCTCTATGGCTATCCCTCTCCCCTTCCCCTATTTTATTTTTTTCCAGAGTATTTATCATTTCTTTCACTCATTCATTTATTCATTCATCCACGAACATTAATTGAGTACCTACTCTGTGTCAGGCGTGGTTCTGGGTACTGGGAATACAGCGGCGAACAGACCACATATTTACCTGTCTGCCAGCTGTCTATCTTCATCAGGAAGATAAGTCCCCTGCATATGAATAAGCTCCAGCCCGAGAGGGTGTTCAAAAGTCCAATTTGTTCATAAGTCCAACAAAGTTAGCTGAGGTACTCGACTAACATAATCGGCTATATAGTACTGTACTTTAATAGACTTACAATACTTTTCATACAAATAATACTTTAAAAAAATAAAATATTTTTAATCTTACAAGACAGTACCTTGAAAAGTACAGTAGTACGGTACAACAGCTGGCATACAGAGGCTGGTGCTGGGTGAATGTCAAGAAGTTACTGGGGAGCGAGAGGGGATGGGAGATGGAAGAGCTGAAGCACTGTCAACAGTAGGAGGGGGAGGACAAGCTGCAGTTTCACTCAAGCCTGATGATGGAATGCACGTTTGCATCTTTGGAAGTTTGCAGCTTGAAGGTTTGTATGTAGGGGACTTAATGAAAGCTTCTTACGGCAGGGACTTTATATTTTGTACTTTGCCCATCACAACCTTCTGAGGTAGGTATTGTTATTCCTACGTTAACAAATGAAGAAACTGAAGTTCCAAGAGGGAAAACAGGACTTGCCAAGGTGGCATAGTGGTTAAGAATCCTCCTGCCGAGCGGGAGATGCGGGTTTGATCCCTGGGTTGAGAAGATTGTCTGGAGAAGGAAGTGGTAACCCACTCCAGTGTTCCTGCCTGAAAAATCCCCTGGACAGAGGAGCCTGGCAGGTAGAGTCCATGGAGTCACAAAGAGCAGGACACAACTGAGCGACTAAACAACAATGAGAAGGTCACACAGGGGCTGGCAGAGGAACTCGGCTCGGTCTTCCTCAGCCACACAGCCTCCCAGGCAGCCCAGAGGAATGCGAGGGCTGAGGTCTGCCAGGTTAGAGGAGGAGGGTCTTTCAGGCTGAGAGGACCACGGATGGCCCCTGCCTTCCGGACCAGGGCACCCTGGCTTCAGTCATCTGAAACACTTGCGGTTCTTCTGCAGCCCCAGCTTTGCCCGTCTGACCACCTCTCCTGGAGTGCCCACCCCTTTGGGTCTGACCAGGCCGCTCTACTGCTCGATCAAAGTTCAGCAGAGCTTCTCAGTGGAGCCCGCTTTGTGCTTCCTCCTCCACCTTGGTGCACAGCCCTGTTATTCATACACCATGTTTTAACTTCTCTCCCTGATTCCCTGCTCCCTTTTCCCTCTCCCTATGGGGCTCAGTTGTGTCCGACTCTTTGCGATCCCCTGGACTATACAGTCCATGGAATTCCCCAGCCCAGGATACTGGAGTGGGTAGCTATTCCTTTCTCCAGGGGATCTTCCCAACCCAGGGATTGAACCCAGGTCTCCCGCCTTGCAGACGGATTCTTTACCAGCTGAACCACAAGGGAAGCCCAAGAATACTAGAGTGGGTAGCCTATCCCTTCTCCAGGGATCTTCCCAACCCAGGAATCAAACCGGGGTCTCCTGCATTTCAGGAAGATTCTTTACCGACTGAGCTTTCAGGGAGTCCCCCTACATGGCAACCACCCTATTTTAAAATTTTTTTCTTTTAATACATTTATTTATTTGTGGCTGCACTGGGTCTTCATTGCTGCTCGCAGGCTTTCTCCAATGGTGGTGAGCTGGGACTTCGCTTGTTGCAGAGCACAGGCTCTAGGGTGTGTGGGCTTCAGTAGTTGTGGTGCACCGGCTTAGTTGCTCCACGACATGTGGAATCTTCTGGACTGGGGATTGAGCCCGTGTCTCCTGCATTGATAGGCAGATTCTTAACAACTGGACCAGACAGTAAAGAAGCTGCCTGCAATGCAGGAGACCCAGGTTCGATCCCTGGAGAAGCAAATGGCTAACCCACTCCAATATTCTTGCCTAGAGAATCCCATGAATAGAGGAGCCTGGCGGCTACAAAATGAGCCTTTGTGTCTCAAAGAGTTGGACACAACTGAATGACTAA